AAATTTCAAGTGTATATACTCATTTGTTTTAGAGTTACACCAAAAACCAAAATCGATTTTGTGAAAAAACTCTTCCTTAATTCTTATGTTGTTTTTCCCGTCGCTTTTGAAAACTATAGAGCATTTTGAATTTTCACCTCCCCAATGCACCAACAGTATTCACTTTCCCATCGAACAAGATAGGTACTAAAGTTTAAAACCGTTACTGTTCATGAACGATGTTCTTACCAAACACTGGTATTATAAGTAGTAGTTTATTTGAGCTTTTTTTAACAGTTTAAACTCGTAAATTATTTCCTTATTCCTACTATATGTAGGCATTACTGATTACTAGTTCCTGCTTGTTTGTGCTAAAATATATTATATATTAATATCTATCAATAAATAAATGAATATATAAATATCATACAATAAATGTACATAATACATTATTAATATACATTTGTATGATATGATGGCTACATGCCTACATACAAAATTATAATATTATTACAATTTTGATATACTAATCTAAATAATATTATAACATAAAATATAATATGTTGACATGAAGATTATAAATATTTGAACAACAATTAATAGGTACCTACAAAGCTACACTTAAATAAAATTTAAATGTAAATCTCCATTACGACTAGTAAGAAGTATGTGTAAACAATTGATCTTAGATTACCTTTACCTATAAACATTATACAATGGATAATATTTGAAACCAACAATAAGGGGAATATTTTTGGGGAAAATTCACATGCACGCAATTTATATCACTCACTCTCACGCACGATTCGTACAACCGCCATGACAAACCCAGGCTTGGGAAAGTTGCAGCATTTTAAAATTTTAAATTAAACTTCAGTATTAACATTTAATTGTATATTATTTATATTGTATATTTAAGTTTGAATTTTAAATGCTTATATATAAAAAATGGTGACTTTATATTTTGAATATTTTTTAACTGTCATTGTAACAATATATATTATACTTTATATTACATTTTCAAGCTTTTTGACCCAACGAATACAATTTTATTGACATTTATAAAAAAAAAAAACTAAAAAAATTGGAAACTGAAAATGTCCGTAACACCTCAAATATGTCGAAATATTTTATGGTGTATAGAAAATGCATGTATCTACTGTAATTTGTTTTTGAGTTAGGTAGGTAGGTACCTACACCAAAAACCAAAACCAAAACCAACTAAATTTACTTTCCCATCGAACAAGATAGGTACTATGAAGTTGAAAATATAAATATTATTTATAAGCTAACTATCAGCTCCTGCGGAGGCTCGTAGGCAGTACTGTGGGTAGTTTTTAATATTATCAAACTGAATTAAACCTCTTTTCTTATTTCTATTGTATATTATTAATATATATATAATATTCTCTAAAAAGCTAGTGTAGGTACCGTGGTTATACTAAGTCATAATCTAGCTATACTGCTATATGCCTGCATAAGTGCCAAAGCCCGAAGGTGTAAAAATTACATAGGTATAGGTGCCTATAATTTGCGACAAAATCTATCAGCAGGACATATCGCCAATATAAAATTATACAAAAACACCAAAGATTAAATTATAATAAAGAAATATAATTTGCACCAATATTATTATTAAATATCCGATGTTATGGTTGATTTTTAATTATATGTTGTATGTGTTTAAATATTAAGTAAAATTATAATCGTGACAATAAAATCATAATTTAAATAAAAAGAAAAGAACATAATAATAATTGTATTGTAATACAAATTGTCGATTATTTAAACTGGTTTAAGCTGATTAAATATTTTGACGTGTCTTACTTGCGCGATTCTATAGTTATCTATACCTACTATAATCTATTATTTGCTATTTCAATTGTTAGGTATTTTTTAATTTTTTTTTTTAATCTATATATTATATAAAAAATACCTAACAATTGAAATAGCAAATAATATATTATAGTAGCTATAGCATCATGTAGGTAACACAAGTTAAAATATTTAATCAGAATTATTCTAAGTGTAAAAGAATATGCACTTATATAAAAATCCGGAATATATTACATTGTCATTAATAGTACCAATATTACAATTTACGAAACAACTAGGTAATTTAATTCAAATATCTATTCAATGATGAATCATTGCATAGGTACCTCATACCTACGAAAAACGATTCTGAGACCATCATGGTCTGTCGACTGTCAATCTATTTTAATATAAGTATAATTATATTATATTATTAACTATACATATTTATTGTTAAATGATTCAAAATATTTTTAAAATTACACCATGTATAAAATATGCTTTTTATTACCGGTATGGCGGTATTCATTTTTGAGTTTACATCATAATAAGAAAATCAATTTTGAGTAAAAATTCCAGTTTTTACTTATTATTTTCAATATTAAGTTTTCAAAAGTACCAAATAGATCCAATTTGCTACTAGAAATCACTCTCAAGGCCTCAAAGTTGAAAATCGAAGCATTTTTTCTACTTTATATCATGTAAAGGTATAACACGGCTACACACACATACACACTTATAAGATACGGTATCAAGTGCAATAAATTATGTAGAATGCCTGAAAGCGAAACAATATCGTCATATTATTAAGTACAATAATAGAATAATGTCAGATTATATTTTGTTTTCATAATACCTTATGGTTAGGTTACCTACCTATTATTATAATGTACATTAGTGAAAATATGTTGCGTCTTTCGATGAGGCGCTTGCCGCATGAATCTATAGTTTGACCACCTCTGCAATATTTTGTCAATAATTAACATGCACTCATAGAATTCCAACATACATTTCAATAGTTATAGGCGTAAATCATAATTTTATATGATTTATTTCAAATTATCTAAATTCTTACTCAGGTAGGTATTCAAGATTTAAGTTGTTCTTTCTGAACCATGTTACCTTATCTATAGGTATAAATAATTGTTGTTACTTGTTGTATATACTTTTGACAAACATTAACATTATTTTGTTCCTCATTTCATCAAAGTGTTTGATTGGCCCTCTGCATTCTGCAAGATTGAACTGGAATCCACTCAAATTTGAATTATTGAAGGGTTTAAGAGGAGAAAGCCTGATAGAAGCACCACCCAAATTTTTAATTTCTCAAGTGAAGCATTGTGAAGGTAACTGCAAAAATCCTCTTGAATCAATTCATACAAGCATTGGGCGGTGGCCTGAATGACGTTTATGTTGTTGTAACGAAAAGGAGGGGGAATATTTAAGTATTTTGAACAATTCTTATACATAGGTACTGTGCAGCGAGAGAACGTCACGTGTCAACAAAATTTATTCACAACACCCTACTTATCTATGGCTGAAGGGTAACTGGCTTTGATAGCAGGTGATGTGGGGCATACACAGAATCGGCGAGTTCTTCTGCTGAACAGTGTGTAGTTAGAAATGATATTGCTTAAACTTTTTAATTATAAATTTCATTTTTTTTTATTATGTGTTGTTCTTGAGTAATAAACGTTTGAAGTACGACAGCATTCATGTCTAGACCAGTATACTGCTATTTGCTAAGAGTTTCAACTTTAGAAATGTTATGCTTATGGTGCAATTTTTGTTTAGTAACCACCATTTTTTTTCTTAGAGCAGAGGTTCTTAGGGCCGTTCTTACGATGTCCGGTTAAAGTTAACCGGCAGAATTCTACCGGTAATAAAATCTGTTATCAGTCGGTTAGCGTTAACCAACACTTTACCGGACATTGTAAGAACGGCCCTTAAACTTTTTTGTATGTGGAGCCATTATGTTGCTAAAAAAATTCTACTGAGGCCTAAAAAAATAGGAATGCTTATAAGATATGAATAACTCATGAAATATGATGCATGAATGATTTGCTTGTCAATTTATTTCTTTATAATAATATAATCATAAATGACATAAATAAATATTGCAATGTCACCTTCAACCAACTCTCATCTATAGTATTATTAATAAAATAAACATGACAAACAAAATATTATTCAGCATTTTAATTTAATTTTGATATGTTTACATAGCCTATACATTACCCTCACGGAGTTCTGATAGTCCAGGGAACACAGTTTGAGAAGAACCGCTATCTTAGTGAAAATCATCCATTGCAAAAATTATAAAGAATAATATATTTGAGGGTTTGACACATAGGTTTTCATTCTATTGTCTGAATTTATATTCAAATTAGACTTTATAAAAAATAAATGGTTGTACATTTTAATGGGTATTAAATTGTTTTGTGGCAATATTTATACTAAACAAAATTCATATTTCAAACGTAATATTCAAAAGCATTATTCTCTATAATTTTTTTAATGGTAATTTTATTTTATTCTAAGACTACCCAAATACAAAAAAAAAAGTGGTTTAGCATGAATGCGTTTTATCTATGATACACACGGGAAAGAGAAAAAACAAAATATATTGCATTGACATCCTCTTAAGAAAAATATTTATTTGATTTGCGTGATTCAATAGATATTTATTTCCAATTCTAGTTACACTGCATAGTGTTAATATAAACTTTCACATTTTATAATATGTAAATTTAATAAATACTGCTTTAATTCCTTAACATTCAAGTTCCGATTTTAGAATTAAATAAGATAGTTTAGAATGTTTAGATAATTCATAGAAAAATAAAAACAGAGTAAACATAAGGTTTGGCTATTTATTTATACTTATATACATGAATGAAACATTTTAAAAAAAGTTGCTTATAAAAATGACTACTTACAAAGATTTAGGAACAAGCAAGCAATACAGCTAATGCTTTAAGCCTAAATTTTCTTAAAAAAGCAATAAATTAAAAAAAATAATTGACTGCTTATGTTAAAGTATTCAATATTAATTAACTTAATTAAATCTGAACCTAAAAATAAATTAATAATTATATAAATATAATGCTTTATATTAAAAAGAACTATAATACATTAATTGGTATAAATTATATTAATTGGAATTACATTGAAGAAATAGTTGTGCCTATCTTAAAAAAAAGTTATCAGTCAGTTTTACGTATTTTGCGCCTATTCCTCAATAAAGGTTCATTTTCAGTTGGTTCATCGCTAGCTTGATCATCCAATAATTCGTCTTTAACAAGTTCATCATCATCGTCCTGAAATAATATTATGTTTTAATACTTTTAATAGTAGCCAGATAGGAAACAAACAAAACAATTTTAAGTTATTACTAACCGATTCTTGACCACTATCGCTGTTTTCGTCTTTTCCATCTTTAACTGGCATTTTATGGTGGCTTGGAGGATAAACTAAATCAATAATGCAGACCAATACCTAAAATTAATTCAAATAAATATTATACATAAATAAATATATAAATAAGTTTACTGAAAAATAGCAAAAGAAAAAGTAACTATCTCATGACGTATCTAAATACATCTTACAAAAATAACCCATTTATGCCAATTGCATACCTAAAACTTTTGCAAACATGATTTAATCATTGAAGAGTGTCCTTGAAGCAGTTAAGAAGACAATATCATTCAATTAAAGAAAACCATACAAAAATCTCATAATCTCCATATTGATTCGTCTAAATATTGTCTCAGCAAAATTTAAACATCATTTAAATTTACAAGTTATAATATTTTAAAAGTTCAATACAAAGTCAAATAACAATAAAATATAAAATCTGTCATTTTCTCAAAAATATTATTCTTTATCTTTTTTTGTGGGTGATTTTACTCTAAGATTAATTAAAACCATAGAAAAAAAAGATTCTGCATAAATACATTTTGTCTATGATTCGCGTGGGCCAGAGAGAGAAAATAAATAGTGTGTCGACATCCTCTTTAAGTAAAACACGCTTCAACTAAAGAACACAACAAAATTTGTAAAATTTAACTAACAAAATAAATATGTATAGATAATAAATTTTTTTTCCAATGTTGTATGGAGTAAAACCACAGAAGGATGGTCACTTTTTTAAATTTAAGAAGTAACAAAATCCAAAAATAAATAAACAAAATTGTATACTTACTAAACCAAGTATGGCACCAATAAATATGGTTGCTATTGCGAATATCAAGTATGATCCCCAAGTTGGAAGTCCATACTCAGCCATCAGAGTTGAATGTAAAATCTAAATAAATACAAATAATTAAAATATTAATTGTATTAATTAATTTAAAATTAAAAATAGCTAGATACTTACCCTAACTTTTTGTGAGAGTTTAAAAAATTGAGCAACTAGAGACATTTGAATTGAATTAGGGGATTTCCATGATGAAATTGATTCTATTTGTTCCCATTTCCGCTCTTTTATAAATGATACCATTGAATCCTTATCACGGCCCATTTTATAATATCTGAATACACCATTCTTAACACTATAGTAAGAAAAAATTTTAAATTATTACTCGAGAAAATTAGTTATGCATTTAAGGTGAATAAATTAAAATATTGAATAATATATCTCACTGAAAAATGGTAGGTAATGTTGTAACAATAAAACGTCCAGTAAGTCCTGGTGATATTGTAATATCTGTGCTTGCAACTGAAACGGATGAATGACTTTCACTCCATTTTGCAAATTCTCTCCATTCTGGTTCAAGTGATTTACAAGCAGGGCACCAAGGAGCGTAACTAAAATAAAATAAATATTTTAAAATATTGGTATTTTATTTATTTATTTAGTATAGCTGGTACACAAATCAACACAATTAAGGCCACAATATAAATCAAAACATAAGTATAAAATAAAATAAATGTAAATGAAAATATAAAAATGTAAATTATTTAAATATTGGTATAAAATGTATTAGGTACCTAATTAAATCTAAAATAGATTATCATATAAATTTAAAAAAAAAAATTATTACCTATATGCAAGTACATAATATGATAGGTATAAGATTCATTAAATTAATTCACTCAATATTGTTGGCACCCAGTAAAGCAGTAAAATAAATATCTTAAAATATTATACGGTAGGTATTACCTACCTATATAGGTATTATAGGTACCTAGAAAAATTGTATTAGAATAATAATAATTATTTATTAGGTATATATAAATAATATAATATAATAATATATTTACAAATTAAAACTTGCTTAAGTAGCATAGGTTGTAAATGTAAAGCTCAGGTATAAAATATAAACGTATAATAAACAGTTATTTATATTTGAATACTTGATCTTTGGAACCAGTTATACTAATACTTAAAACATTATATTATGTAATTAAGTTACTGCTAGACATAAAACGTTGCAAATAAATTATTGTAAAATTGAATAAAAAGGAACGGTATGTTAAATTTTAATTAAATAAATTAAAAGTAGATATAGTAATATTAACTAACTATATAAAAATAGATTATTATTTATACTTTGATGTTATTTATTTTTTAACTAATTTATGCTATTCGTGGGAATTTGAATTTAGATTTTTAAAATAGGAGGCCAATTAAAACACATATTTTTTTTTAAACATGAAAGTCAAGGATGCAAATCCATGCACAAATATATGTATACTTACTATGAAATTATAAATTATAATTATCTAATGTTACATAATAACATATAATTTATGATGCTTTTAACTTATTCATCATGAGGTTAAAAAATAACATAACACAAGGCTTATCTTAGCTACTTGTACCTACAATATGGCATAACGGAACAAAAAAATGTATAGGTACTAGTTTTTATAATAACATATTGATGAATTATTAAGAACCTTATCTAGTTAGGACTTTTTTTTTTAAATTATCATATATGATTTATACTTAGGTATATTATTTTTTGTAAAATCACTATATTTTTTGTTTAGATAAACTAAAGTGGAGATGAACCTGAGCAATAATTTTGAAGGTGTAATTGACAATTGTTTACACTTTATACATATAATAATGAAGAACAATTTGAAACAATTTAAGACATTATAAATTATAATGAATTATTGATTTCAAAAGTATAATGATCTATACAATTTTCATACAGACTGCGCCTTTATTGAATGCCCATCATTAAAAATTATGTAAATTACTTAAATTTATAAAACCTTGTAACAAATGTTGTTCTTAAAAATTCCAATACCTAGGAAAATTATGTCAATTTACACAAACCTATAGTTATCAATATAACATTAAATATAGATATTGGTTCAGCAGTTCATATCATAAACTAATTTTATTTAGCTTCTCTAAAAATAGAAAATTGTTTTCATATTCTTATAACAACTGTGAATAGTATAGAATAAAATTGGAAAAATAATTTAATATTTAGGTACCTAATACCTACTTGATTATTTTTATATTCAAGTTTTAACCAAACTACAAAAGTTTTAATGTTATTAATATATTACAATTTAACTCATTGTTAGTTTAAAACCATCACTTAAAGAAAACATTTTAAAGGATAAAAGTAAATCCAACAAAAAAATATTGTGTATACAATGGAATATAATATTACATTACTTAGCACTTCTCTTGTTAATCCACACACAGTGGGAATTACTGTACTGATATAGGTATAAGCTTTCTTTATTACAAACATTCTTAATTGGAGTCAAAATGTAAGACATAACACAGGGATGTGACATACAGGGTGGGGCAGTGGAACGGACAAATTTAATATAAAATGTTAGCCAGGCTTGGTTAACTTGAAGTTGAAGGGACCGGCTAAAAATGTTGAGTTATTCCGGCATATAGTGAAAATGTAATAGGAATTGATGATTTTGAGCTAACCAAGTTCAACTGTATTAACATTGCCCATTTCACTGCCATTTCCATTGGCGCCAAGTGTGCCTAACAACTTACTCAGATTTAGGAAAGTATAATGTAATAGGTAGGTAGGTACCTAAATATATGAATCAATATTTAAAATATTTGTGTATAATATTTAGAGCAAGGAATTTCATGCATTAAGCCTATAAAACTATCAAATATGCACTAAAGCTATACAAATATGATTAGATAAATAAGTTTGAATAAATTAATATAAATTCTTAAATGTTTAAATTTCTTAATTCATACACGGGAAACTAATTCTGCAAATGAACATGTTTTATTTAATATTATAGGTAGGTATTTTGTTATTATTTAAATATTTTCAACTTAAGCTACCCACCACAAAAATCATAATATTTATTATAATATACCTATTCTCCGTGTAGCCAGAGAGAACATTCTGATTTTGAGCATCCGTACATGATACTCTGTAACAAGACCGGTTCCACTATGGAAGGGTGTCTTGTGGGGATGTTACAATTTTACTACTTATTTAAAAATGTATAGGTATTATTGTATTAATGATATGATAAGACTAATATGCTTTATTAACAACAAGAAAAATATGCAAATGCATTAAAGTCTTTGTTCTATTAATATAATGTATGATTAATATAACTAAGTACCTACCTACTAATAAAATTTATGAGAGTAAAGAAAATTTTAAATATATTATATGCATACTAGTTCATCATTAGATTAAAAAGTAAACTGAATTTGTCCAATACCTAATTATATTTGTGAAATTCTTGATTACCAAAGTTCATACAACATAAAATGTTTTGGAGAATTTAAAATCAAACGGGTAAAATTAAATTGTTAACATCTCAACCACTCGTCACAGTGTACATTATGTCCACATTGTCGCTACAATGTATTGTGTAGCCCACATGTCTCTGCGTAGCACGTTGTGAGAATAATTATTTTTCACCCACAGCCACACACACAGACTCGCCGATCTTAACTTTATGGCGTTTTCCGGATCATATCTACCGGTACGGACACCAAAGACGATAATATTTTCTCAACACCGAAAACCACATGCCTACGTGAGACGAAATACTTACAACAACACCATCCACTCGTCGGTTAGCACGTTCGTCCAGTTGTTCTCGTCCAGTTCCAACGAATGGTGATCTCCGTTTCCGGCGTCTACGACATTGGCGTCTGCGGCCAACAGACACAGTGACCCGATGGCCACCAAGAGTATCGCACACAGAGGCTTGGACATGTTATCGACGTGGAATGCGTTGGCTGAAATACTACGTCTACCGTTTGCGTGGGGTGTGACGGCGGTTCGGAGTGAGCGTGTTTCGTACTGGCGCGAACAAAGGGAGCAGAGAAGAAACTGTTTTTTTTTTTTACTCGAGACAACGATCGACGCGGTTTTGTCGGCAAACAGCGGACAGTCGACGAGTCGTTGGGGGGAAAAAACAAACGATGAACGTCGGGGGAGGGGTAAAAATTGAAACTGACGAAACGAAAAAAGTCCACCGGTACGCGCACGGTGACGGACGAATGCCAAATTGTATAGTAAATACCCGTGACTTGTCGACTGTTTTGTAAACAACAACAACAATAGTCAATACGATATTACAATATTATATTATAGGCGAAGGGAATAACCACTACTGCGAGGTGAGCATCACCAACGTACGAATATTGCGCGCGCGCTGCGGTAAACACTACCAAACAGTAAACAGTGAATAGTGAATACTGAACAGACAACGGTGACCAGTGTTGTACACGAATCACGAGCGGCGTCGGCGCGGCGGTGGGTAAACGACATTCGCACCACCCGACGACGCCAGACGTCACCAGTCACCACCATGATTTTAAAGGTCATTTTAACACTGTCATTGTCACCACTATAATAATATTATGAATATTATTATATCGGAGGACGCCTACTCGTAGTGCTACGAGTACAACTTACTCTAGAGAGGCGATATTATTGTAATCCACAACTAGTGCTACACTACTACTACTACTACTACCATCACTACTAATTCTACTAGTTATTACTACTACAGAGTGTCACCTCGGCACAACTGTTAACTGCTACTGCCTGTCTGCCTAGTGCCTATATTACTACTGTGTGTGCCTACTATGGTGTGTAGTGTGTACTGTGCCTTCTATGGTACTAGACACTACTAGTGTAGCATATTGAAGCCGAAATATCTATCCACCCCCCCCCCCCATACCAAGGCAAATTCCTAATTACGCCAATGAGGCTTTCTACTATTTACTTCCCATCGGCCATCGCAAATAACCCATGAAAGGATACTGGATAGACCTGCTGGGAAACCGATATTTTCCGTTTGGGCCTCGTCTGTATTTAAATACATTTCGGGTACTCTTCATCTTTTGAATAGAATACTGAATAGGTAGTAAGGTCGTATTGAGGTTTTAGGTAGTCTAAAGTTGACTGTTATACTTGTAGTTATGTTATAGTTATAGTTGTATGACTAGTGACTACTACTAGCTAGGCAGTGGCTAGTGGAATTGTACTTGGTGGTCCTAGGGCCTACTGGAGTAAATAAATAAAAAAAGTCATTAAATAGGTACCTAGATAGAAACATTTTATAATTTTTTAATGACAAAATTATGTTTAAACTTTAAATTTGATTTATTTTGTCAAAATTCGAAATTTAAATGCTTGTACAAAAAAATTGTGCCTGTGTATTTTTAATATTTTTCAACTGCTATAGTAACAATGTATCAGGGGCCTTGTATTCAATTTTCACACTTTTTGATCCAACAAATAAAATTGTATTAATATTTAAAGGAAAAAAATCTATTAACAAATTTAAATTTTAAATAGTTCGTAAACATCTCAAAACAAGTCAAAATATTTTCAAAATTGTATGGTGTATATAAAATAAGAATATAAACATTCAGTGAAATTATCGTGTATCTACAGTTAGGTATTCGTTATTAAATTACAAAAAAAATAAGAAAATCGAGTGAATATTTAATGTTGTAAAAATATAAATTCAACCAATAAAAATTTAATTTGACTTTCTTGTAGACATTTTTTTTTTTTTTTTTTGATAAAGGTAGATAAACTTATGAGGAATCTTGTATTACATTTTAAAGTCTTAGATTTAAAAAGAACATTTTTCATGAATTTCTAACTTAAAATAATTTGCACATTTAAGTTTTTTTACGTATTTTGTCAAGATTTGAACTTAAAATGTGTATAAAGAAAATTGTGACTGTGGATTTTTAATATTTTTCAAATATCATTGTAACAATATATTAGGACTTAGGAGCATTGTATTAAATTTTCAAGCTTTTTTAACCAACAAATAAAATTTTATTGACAATCATAGAAATACATCCAAAAATTTAAAAATGTTTACTAAGTATTTTTAATATTTGTTTTGTCGTAAGTATCTTCAACTAATGAGGAACCTATTATGTTACCTACCTATTACATTTTAAGGGTAGTTATGATTTTACAGACATTTATCAAAATTCCGATTAATTGCAAAATATTTTGTAGTTTAAAATCCATAAAAATGTTATTTTATCATCTATAAGGTTTGAAAATTTGATACAAATGTTTATTTTACTGGAAATTAAAAAAAAAAGTTTACCGTATTTTAAATTATTACAAATGTAGATATAATAAGTAGTAACATAATTTACATAATGTAGGCATAGCCGGTATAGGATATATTTTATGAACGGCTTGGTAATATAACTAATAAACACGTATAAACATAGATGTGGCAGTCAGCACCCTGTAACTTGTACGCTGTAGGTGTCTGATTTGGTAACGTAGGTACTAGGTAGGTATATAATTTATATAGGTAGGCGGTTAGTGATACGTAGGTAGGTATATAGCTGGCGTGCGGTCAGGATATAATATATACTACACATAATATAATATTATTATACTTAGTCATAGTGCCTCTGAGCGCGAAACACACCGCACTATACCAGTTTACCGTGGCGAAATAATGGAACATGTATTATAATAAATTACATGATATGATTTCGGATTTATAACGCGCGTGTTGCTAGAGCCGTCGCCGTCACAGTTGACGGGCGATCGCGACGTGCCAACTTCCAACCGTAACTATTGTTGTTTTGGTTATTACAATATTACTTATAACTTATCACAATACGACTGTATAGCCGTATAGGTGGTCTATGTCTATAGCTATGTATTGAGGTCCATGCGCGACAACTCGCCGTTTGCTTCGCTATATACCTATATAGCCTATATAATATAGTGTACCTACTATCTACATTCTATAGTCTATACATGATTACATGAACGTGTTTTTCACAATCGCCCGTGAACCGCGAAACTAAAAGTACCTACAAAATATTACAAAGTTACATTATTAAATAGTAGTATACCTATACGGCCAATCGCTGCAGCTATAATCTCTCTCTCTCTATATATATAATAAAAATGAATGTCCACTTTTTTGGTCTGAAACAAACTTGAAAACTATAGGTACCTACTTAATGTGATCGACTTTAAGTTTAACATAGAGATATTCTGTCTGGATCTCACTGATCTTAGTATCTTACTATATCAGAGTGATTGTGTATGATCTACATACTAATCACTCTAGATACATTTTTGGATCTACTGGATCACCTGGAGTGGTATTTTAAATTGTCTTTTTACGAGATATTTTACTCTAAGTAAAAAAAAAAATACTAATGACAATAATAATAATAATAATAATATCATACTATCATATTGCGAATAATATTTTTTGTGTCATGCAGGTACAAGACGTGTATAGTAGAAATCGATATAATTTTTATTTTTATTTTGTGATTCCAAATTGACGAATGCACAACGATGAAGCATTCGCATTCTATTAAAATTACACCACAGAACTTGATTTTAGATTCGGAGCGGAGCGACGAATGTATTGATTGAACAATGATTTGTGTTTATTTTATTTTTTAGTACCTACCAAACAAAGTGTCACTAATGGGTGGCTCATCCTCAAATATTCATCACTATTTTGTATAATCTATTGTAAACCGTTCTTCTGTTTTTTTTTTTTTTTTTATCATGTTTCAATACCTTATATTTTGTCATTCACTCATTCCTGTATCATATTTACTTATTGAGCCTTATTGTACAGATTGTAAATTTTCTTATAAAAATGAAATTTTTTTTTTAAAATTGTTGTGTCTGTCATCACTGTTTAGAGCAGTAAAAGTGTAAAACTGCTTCGATTTTCTTCAACAGTATGTTGTTCGATGGGAAAGTGAATATAATTGGTGCATTCGCGGGAGGTCAAAATTTAAAATTCCCACTAGTTTTCAAAAGCGCTGGGATAAACAATATAAAAATTAAGGGAAAACGGGAATTTTTAAGCAAAATCGGGTTTCGACAAAATCAATTTTGGTTATTGGTGTAACTCTTTAACAAATGAACTTATATATACATGAAATTTTCACGGGTTGTTTATATTCGCATTTTCTATACATTACAGTTATCTTCCGAACAATAACATTCTTCCCAATAGCCTCTATTCAATTCAACTCCCCAGTTGCATACACCAGTCACATCAGTACCTATCTGAAACCAATCCACAACGGCGGATCACATTTCTCCAACGACCATCCGCTGATATTAAAAACAATAAAATATAATTAACATAATGTATTAATATTAGAATACTATAGGTACAAATATTTTGATGATAAATAATATTGATCAAATCAATTATTAGACACTATTGACTCACTTATAAATCCTTAGGGGCCTTGTTTGTTTATACTTTAATGTGCCAGGCGTATGAGATTCATCACTAGCTAGTGCATTCTACCAAGACATGACGATCTTTGTCGAATTTTCCGTAAGCACCACAATTATCAGATCCATCTGGGTCACTATTTGTAGAACACTGGTAGCATTGGATTCCACTTACTAAGCACGACAAGTTTATTAATTCTAACATAACAATATTATTAATTCTAAATTAGAATTAATAATATTGTTATGTAATGACGTGACAAAAGACAGCCACACAATATCTTAGACCTAAAATTACTATTTACCTTTATGCAAGAATGATAAACCTAAAACTAAGACAAAACAAAATAGTATAGTGGACTTCATTACAACGTAAATAAAAACTAGAGCTACTCGGTGACAAAATAAATATAAATAATTCAAAAAGAAAAGTATTTAAAATATTTTAAAAAGAAAATTACGTTTTTAAACTATTTGATGGTAAATAGTGA